ATTTGGTTATTGTATAGTTGAGATGCTTAGATCCTTCATTTGTCCTATAACTTCTTGCAAATCTTAGGTTATTTTCTTCTCTTTATTGTTATCTTCTTTATTCTTTTTCTCTATACTCAGTACTATTTTTGTTTTTTTGATTTCTTTTGTTTTTTCTGTTCTTTCTGATTTAATTTTTTTCTTAGATATTTCTCTCTCATTTGTATTTTCTTGGTAGTTGAATGACCCTAGGTTTATGTTTATTGTTGCTAATTTTGTTGCCTATTTTTCTACAATACTATGTGATACTGTGCATACTGCTACTATTTTAAGTACTTTTAAAATTTGGCTATACTGAAGTAGGTCATCTGGTGTTATATTTTTTGGATTATAGACTGCTAAATCTCTTGCTATGTACTCTAAGTTGTTTGTCTTATTTATCAGTTTTAACAAGATTGAATCTAGTATTTTGCTATCTATATATCTTTTATTTCTATCACTTAAGCCTCTAATATGTTGTATTAGGCTTGTGCTATATGATATTCCCAATCTCATTTGTACTTCTGTTTCTAGACTTTTCTGATATTTATCCATCTGCTTGCTACATATGTTGTACTTACCTGTTGTTTTCCAATTGGGCTAATTATTATTGGTTCTTGTTGTTGTTTGGTATAACATGACATATTGCTTTGGTTTTGTTTATTTGTATACTGGTTACATGCTTCTAATTTGTTTTTTCTGAGTCAAACACCATTTTTTAATTTTTCCAAAAATTTTTAATAAAAGTTTTGAAAACTGGCAACAGTTTTATTTAACAGAACTTTGCTTATATTGTTGTTAAGACAAAGTAGTTGTGTTTTGTTTGCTGAGTCTTTTTTCTTAGTAGTTCAAGTGAAGTTTGTTAGACCATTTTTATATTTTCCTATGTATTTGTTTTTAGCCTTGTTTGAAAATTTAGAATCAGCTATTAGGTTTAATATTTATATTTTTGTTTTTCTTTTGTTTTATCATCTTTTTTTCTTGTTATCTATTTCAATTTGTTATTATTTCTTGATATAGTTTATAAAATATTTTTTTTTATTTTTTTTTATTTGAACTATTGCTAAAACTTTGTACTTAGATTTTTTAATTCTTACTATATTAGTTTTTTAAATCTTTTGCATATATATTCTAATTCTTTTTATTTATATTTGTTAATAAATCTTATATTGTTGATAGTTTTTGTTCTTAGACTTCTATTTGTTTTATAACTGTTTTTATTTATTTTGTATTATGTTTTTTTTATTTTTATTCTTTTCTTTAGTTTTTAATATATTGTTTTATTTTTTTTAATATTTCTTTTATATTTTTTTTATTTTATTTTTATTCTTTATTTATTTTGTTTAATATTATTTATTTCTATACTTACTTTCTTATTAATTTTTTGTATTATTGCTTTATTTTTGTTATATTTCTAGTTAAAGTTCATCTCTATTTATAGTATTAAAGGCAAAATGAATATTAGAGTTATTCTAACCTAGTACTATTTTAATCCATGTTTTTTATAACAAAAATGTTTTTTGAACAAACTAACTATTATGCATTGATAGTATTTTAAAAACTTGGAAGTTAAGCTGTTCAACTAAAATAATGCTATAATAATACTAAATCAGAAACTATAGCTATTTGTTAAAGTAGATCTGCCAGATTAGACTAGTTATTATGTTGTAAAAGACCATTTAAGGTTTTAATTATAATAACAGATTTGAAATTATTGAGTTCAGTATAAAAATATTTGATCTTGAGCCTTTGTGCTATCTTTTTTATAAGATGTCTTTTTTGTATAAAAATGTATTTTTTTTGTAAATAAAAGGAAAAGAAAAAAAAGAAAAAAATAAAAAAAATAGTTAGTAGTAATTATAGTAGTTATAATAATAAACCAAGACCTTGCACTTATGTTTTAGCTTTGCCAAATCATTCTGTCTTTTTTGTAGTACTATATTTTGCAATATTTAGTATTTTTAAGTAACAATCTGTTACATTTTTCTTAATCTTATATACTATATACCAAAAAATTCTTCTAATAATAAGTTTCTTTTAATATATTTATTATTTTTTAATGACTATCTAATAAATTTTATATACTTTTATTTTGTTTTTTCAAATACATTGCATATTGCTATATTGATGAGTAGGCTATTGTTTTAATTACAACTTCTTTTGCTTGATGTCTATATATTTTTTCTAATAAAATTTCTATTATATTGATTTTTTTTAATTTCTTATTTTTATCTTTTTTGGCATTTTGTTTTTTTATTATTAAACTCTATTTTGATTCTTTATTATTTAGTTTTATATTCTCTTATTCTTCTTTTTTTACTTATTCTTTAGCTTTTTATTTTATAAAACTTAACTTGTTTTTATTTTATTATCACTTCTAAAACTTACTTTTATTACTGCTTTTTTTTATATAATATTACTGTTTTTATATATTTCTTTTTGTTTAGTTTCTTTTCTTCTATTTTTTTTTGTATTATTTCTTTAATATTTTCTATTTTTTATTATTTATTGCTACTGTTTTTTTGGTTTATCTTGTTTTAATATAAATTCTATTACTATTATATAATTGCTTTTCTTTATTATACTTAACATTTTTTTTAACTATTCTATTTCTGTTTTTTTTATTAGTTTTCTTATTATTTGTAATAATACAACTTTAACTGGTTTTGTTTTGTTAGTATAATAATAATTTAGTCTTTTTTATCAAATTTTATATATGTTTTGTTTATCTATTTAAAAAATATATTATATATATATTACAATAGTTCAATATACTCTTTTAACATGTATTGTTATTAGATTATTTTTACATTTTTCTGATATATTTAATTTTTTTTTATAATTATCAAACATGTATTTTGTTTATCTTTGTACATAACTGTATTTGCTTGTTTATTTATATTCTTTTATTATAATTATAACTGATCTACAATATTATATTAATACAAATTTTTAAAATTTTATTTTTAAATATTTGTCTTAAAAATTTTTAATTATTTTCTTTTTATTATATTACTTGTTTATATATATTTTTTTAAATATTAAGGTGAATACTTATAACCTAGAATTTTATTATTAGTATATTTAGCTAATGATTGCATTATAACCACAAAAGGTAATTATAAAAAAAGTATACAATTAAACACTTATACAACTTTAATTATTGTTTATTTTAAGTAGTTTACTCAAAGGTTCTATGCTAGTTGCCATATCTGAATTTTGCTTATAAGTTCTTTATTTAAATACTTTAGTTCTTATATCTATTTGGTTACTTATACTTATTAATAATTCTAGTTGATATCAATAAAAATATAACATAGTTATTAAATCTTTAAAACAATTCATTTATATAAAAAACTTTTGACTTTGTACTAAACTTTTTAGAATTTTCTATATTCTATTCTTACAGCTAACCTAGTAATATTATAACTGAAACCAATACTTATGATCAAAATGTATTATTAAATCACTATATCATTGTAGAATTTACTCCAACTCTGATACTTACTTTATAATATATTCTTACTATTTTGATATTTAATTTAAATATTACTAAGCTTTCAATTCAGATAACTTAAAAAGATAAATACAACCATACTTCTGGTTTATATATTTTTTCACATGTAACCTTTTTTTTTTGTTATCTTTTTATAATTCTGATATCTAGTCGGTTACAATAACTCCTTTTTAAAGACTAACTTGTCTTAATTTGACTTCATAAGTTTTAACTCTATTTTATAACTCTTGTCTTTACAGTAGTATCATTAAAAGTTTAGGTTACGTCTCTATTTGGAACTTCCAAGTGAATTTTCATCTTTCTGGTTTCTGTGATCTACATGATTATAAAAACTTATAATAAATTTATACTGTCTAATACTAGTTTATATTCTTTTATATAAGGTACAATTATTATATAAATGTTATGTAATTTTCTAATTATACTGATATAACACAAGTAACAGGTATTTTATAATTTTCAAACCTGTTATAAAATGTACGTAGATTTTAGTAGAACTTATATTTTTTTAAATAGACCTCAAATTTCAAAATCTGCTAGTTTCGATATTATTTGTGGTGTAAATTATTGATTTTTATCAAATTTGAAAGATTATCAGTTTCGACAGAATCAGTTTTGGGAGGTTTAACTAAAAATGAAAACATTTTTTTTATCTGTTTAAAATAGATGATAATTAAATTCTGGATGATTAAATTTGGCCTAAATGTAACCAGATCATAAATATCGCCGGGAGAATAAAATCTCAGATTTAACAGTACTTGTTACATGATTTTATAGATAATTACTACGTATCTTACATATAAAAAATAACGTTTCTTGGAACGAAAATCAGTTAGGACGTAATAAGCAGGAGAAAACAAAGTTTTATAATACGGGAATACACGACAATGTAACTTTAAGTGGAAGTGAAGTTATGTAAGACTTTTTTGCAGAATTTATTATATAAGAAATTATACGTAATATTACTTTTTTTAATGTTAAAAAAGAGATTAATAAAAATACAACGCATAAACTCGTGTCGAGTGACAAATTACATAATATTGTAAAGACAATTTATGTTATCAATAATTTTATTTAAATAATAGTTAAAATTTAATTAAAATTTTGCTGCCGTTATCTCAAATGCTATAGGAATAACGGACATTTATTAAAGTTCAATTATCGTTATTCTTTTAATGAGGTGCCTAATTTTCATTTGATACTATTTATACATATAACCAAAAATAGAGAATTATGTAATTTTTTAATTCTAAATTTGGATGATTTAAGTAAACACGCCTACCGATCTGCAGAATGCAGATGTTCTTTAAGTTACACATACGGGTGACCAATTATAAAAACACTGTGTTTCGAAAAAAGTTTTTTTTTTGTTGTTATTGGGATTTTCTCGTTGAAACTTGCCTGAAATGAAAATTTTCGTTTAACCATTAATACATACAAAGAATTTTTTATCTTAAAAGACAACATGGACAATGATGACGAAAATGGATATGATCCTCGAGATTTTGTTTACTCTCAGTCAAGTGATTCTGGTAATTTGTTTTATTTTAAAATTTGAAATAACTAAAAAAAATCCAGTTTACTGATTGTTATTAAACAGGTTCGGATGATGAAATAAGCAATTTTAATACTAAGCAATTTAAAAGTCCAATGTATGATGAATACAAAGCATCTGGTAGACAATTTTCCTTATGCGTTTTAAAAGTGATTTATTTTACGAAAATATGAAGCCAAGCTAATAAAATTATGAAAAAAAGGGTCAAATTTGATTTCTAGAAATATTAATAACAACTTTGCGGATCAAAAAGAGTTAGTCACGGAATATTATAACAGTGAAGACGAAAATTCGATGGACTCATTTTGTCGCAAATTGCAGAAACTGGATGTTGATACGTCACAATGTAATATATTCAAATATTATTAAAAATATTATTAAAATGGATATTAAATTCAATACAATCTAAAAATTTCTTTCAACAGATACCTTATCTTTTTCTAAATTATTATCTTCTGATTCCTCTGATTCAACAAATTATGATGACCAACGTTTGAAAACCCTTCAAAATTGTTCCCAATTTGCCTGTATTCGCTTATCAGATGCATATTGTCATGACTCCAAACATGTCAAATGTAAGTTTATAAAAATAATAATTGTACATCTAATAATTAAAAGGTTTTTATGTGTACAGATATTAACTCATTTATATCAGTTGAAAATAGCACGCCTCATTCCACTGATAATTATTTGCAATTCAATTACGACCACTCGGAATGCGATACAACATTACAACATAATCATACATCATCAAATTCATATGTTGATAAGAAGCAATCAACAAACACATCAGTATATCAGTTGCGTCATCGCCGTACCACATTGCCTAAATCATTGATTGATCCAACGACTAAGCAACCAACCGAATCTTTATCCTCGTATTCTCATCAAAAGAAGTCATTGAAAAATCAAATTAAAAACGCACTACCGACACGTTCAAATCCCAAACGCTCTTCAACCATCACCCTACCCTCGTATGAAAATCTTCAAAAAGTAAGAAAATTAATAATCTGTAAGAAAATGAATTGTGGGAAATCATTTGCCAGCGAAGCAGAGTTAGAAGCACACGAACAAACAGTACATCCATACATATGCCATTATCGAGGATGTAATTCGAGATTTGACAGATTGGAACATGTTAACAAACATATGCAAACACATACGGATATATTTCCAAGGGAATGCGAGATACCAGGATGTGGTGTGATGTATTTTACAAGAAAATCATATCAAAATCATCTGATGAAGCATGGAAGGTTAGAAAGAATGCGTTCACGAATAGATGTAGAGAAAACAAATCGATCTAAGAATGTGAATATTCAGAGGAAGAATTACGTGCGTGAAACAAATACAAATACCGAAGGATTTATAGCACGTAACGAAAAAGATAAAGTAAGCGTGAACGAAAAAGATAAAGTAAGTGTGAACGAAAAAGATAAAGTAAGCGCGAAAAATAAAAGACATGGAGTAAACGAAGATAGTAAAGGACATAAAATAAATAAGGAGAATAAAAGATGTAGAGTAAATGCAGATAATAGAAGTTCAGAAGTAAGCGTAGATAGAGTTGTGATAGTGATAACGGATATAAACAAATAGATACGAAGTGATTTATTAGATAGATGTGTAAAGTACCCCGATGTATATGGTAGAAAGGAAAGAGATGTTAATTTTGGTTACAAATAATAAATAGAACTAAGTCAATTAAGCATCATTTTAGGATTAACTTTAAGCAGTCTTTATATTGTTTTATGAATCTTTATTTGATAGTAATATATTATTTATTAATTATTTCGTAAACAAAAATGAGTAAGAAAAGTTTTTATGCATTTAATTTTAACTTACGGAGTTTAATTTATAATATTATTGAATTATTTAGTATTAAATGACATCATCAGAAATGAATCTCGCTAAATGAAGCTTAGCGTCATATAAATCGAATCAACATCAATCAAACAAATTGTCATGCTGATTACTCAAATAACTATATATGATTCTCACCAATATGTCATAAGAAATTATGATATAGAGAACCACTTTAAGGGTTTATCAGAATATTTGAGTGACAGTTAATTATCATTCACTTAATTTAGCTCAGCTCTTAAAATTAATCCTTTAGATAAATTCTGAAATACTCGACGAATAAATGAAGGATGGCTGATGTCGATAACCTATCGATTCGGTCATAGAGAACGTTTCATCTGTTCCGGAATTTATGAAAACAGCTCTAAATGTGATCAAATAATGATCGATCCCAAAGGCAAAAAAATATTTTTTTTACTGGATATAGCAATGGTTAAATATAATACAATAAATGTGCTCTAATCACATAGAATCTGGCTCTTCAGGGTTCGAAAATTATAAGTTAGTGAATCAATTTACCGGTTTTCCCTTTCCGTCACACACCTTAGATTTAGATGTAGATCATAGCTCTTTGCAAAATTATTAAAATATAACGGCCCATTATCAATCATGTAAGAAATATTATTAACTACCTTATTATATCGAGTCTTCAGTGAGATTTGGTATAAAGAGGTTTCAATATACAGTAAATTTACTTTACAGAAATCTTCAGAACAGCCAATTCGGTATAGGCGAAACAATTGTATTTGCAAGTTTAGTAATAATGAAATTAATCTTAAATTTTAGCTTTGCCATTTTATAAGTTTTACCACCCTTCATATGTTTTTATTACCTTTCACAAATTCCATCAGTTTTCTCACATTTTTGTTAGTTTCGCATCCCGCCTTTTAAATTTTTGGTGAAAGTCGAACCAGGTTCCGTCTTTCATTAATGACGAAATTTCTAGGTTTCATTTAATAATTGTAGTCTCATCATTTAATTCGTACCCCAATAAAACTTCTTGAACGTCATAAAGTGTAACTCCATAAATGCTGCCTTCTAAATAACTTTCATTATACTCTTTAAGCAATCTTATATCTGAGATGTAAAATTGCATACTTTTACTAATGCCTTATCTTGCAAAGTATTAATACTGAAAGTCTGCATAAAAGTATCCTCCATTATACACAAATCAAGTAAAACATCTAGTAGTAATTTTAATTAGGTTTCCTGACAAAATCTTAGAAAGTTTTTTTTTTTACGAAAACCATCATGTATTTATTTGGTTTTGTATATTGAGTTAATAAATATAATTTAAGCAACTACCATAATCTACATTTTAAATGATTGCAAACTTTAATTTAATATGCACTTAAGTATAGATGCAGAAAATTGATTGGTGACGTGACTTTTTTGTAGCATCCACAGTCGTAATTTAAGTGGTGTTCCGATCCTAGCTTTGAAAGGCATCCGGATTGAATTCGTATCAGATTGTAAATAAAGCAAAATCCTTAGGTTCGTTATTTAAGTTCTTTGACCAATCTGAGTAAAAATCTTTGATCTGGATATCCGGAATTTTAAATTTAGGATCGTAACACTAAATTTAAGACGTGACCGATATGTCAAAAAGCCACAACTAACGTTTGTCGTAATTTTAGATATATGCTGTAACGTTCGAATTTTATGCCATAACTTCAGCATATGTCATCATATTCGACCATACTGGTCATTGTCATAGTGAATTTTCGGTATTAAAAAGTATCAAAGCTATCTATTTTAGACTCTTTCGAAATAGGCCTTCGATATAATGAACCTTAAAATTTTTATCAATGAAACGGGTCACTTCACTTCAATGCAAATCAATCATAATATAGGTTGCATTTATTACATTAAATACAATAATTATTTAGTTTCTAATTCAACACTTAAAACAGTGTCGACAAGATCCTCAATACTAGAATTTATAATGTCAGTGGTAGAAAATTTAAATAGTATGATTTCTCTGCCTTGAATCTTCTAAAATTACATTAGAGATAATGAACGTGTGCTTTCTTCATATGCATTATTATTATTTCTGTATTTACTCTTTCACGCCTGATAACATTGTTTCATGCTTCGTCGAAAACGGACCCACCCTATCAATCTCTTTTAAGTTTAATCATTGCTAGTTTCGAAGTAACGACAGCGCAAGGTTCTAACTAAAATTACTAGTATACCGTCTTCAAAGACATAAATCAAAGGCATATTGGCAATTTTTATAATTTGTTGGCTTTTATTTTTAAGATACAAAATAATTTTGTATTATTTATTTATTTCATTTTTCAAGAAAGTTAAATTTATGTAAATCACGTTTAAATTAGTACTGTATATTCATCTGCATTACGTCCATTAGTTATGATTTTACGACATACGTCTATAATTTCGAATAATTTTTATTGGCGCAAACCAAAAAAAATGTGCATAAAAAAATTTTATACACGCTTTATATATACAAATTTACATCTATGTACGCTGCGCCGATCCAATATACATCACTGGTCGGGATTCATAGACAGAAGTTTGTATGATTGGCTAATAAATTCAATTTAATTTTACATTATTTATACAGTTTAGAGTACTTTTTTAAAAAAACGAAACCAAACCATAATAAAGTAAAAAAAAACATATAGAAGGGTTCATTAGAGTTGTAGGACTCCATAGCCAAAAATAAGATCTA